CAAAAATATTTAAGATTTTTATTTATTGAAATAATTCAGATTTTTCTGTAGGCATTCTGGAGTTCACCTTGGTTAGGGAGGTCTTCCCACATTCCAACACTATAACTTATCCTCTGTTTTCTTGGACTAATTTTTTACATGAAAATCTTTAATCCATCCAATTCTGATTTTGAGCAACTTTTACATTATCAATGAATGAAAAGGGCATTCTGTAACGTTCATGTAATGAAACACTGCACGACAAAGAAAAATCATGTCTTTACGATATGCCAGCTCTCTGTTCCTAAATACACACCCAAGAGAAAAGAAAGTATATACCCCCCCAAAAGGACTTTTATACAAATGATCAGCATCTTTATTCCTGCAACCAAACACTGGAAATGGCCCCCAAATCCACACAGTGAATAAACAAACTGGTTTACTCAGACAACACAGTATTACCTTGTGATAAGAAGGAACCGACCACTGATCACTGTGAGTGCAAAATGATTAAGCGAAACAAAGAAGCCAGAGACAGGAAGGGCACGTATCACATGACTCCACTTATAGGAAATTCTATTAGAAGTCAAATCCGTCCCCGGTGATAAAGCAGGGCAGAGACCGAGGGATGGGGCACAGAGGAAGGTTCTGGGGTGACTCGAAGGTTCTGTATCCTGATAGGGTGATGTTTCGGCAGGCGCATACACTGATCAAAATTCCCCAAACTACATCCTTAAAATGTGTGAATTTTACTGTATGCAAATTATATACCTCAATAAAGTTGACCTTAAATATTAAAAAAAATTTTTTTTAATGTTTATTTATTTTTGAGAGAGACAGAGACAGAATGCAAGTGGGGTGGGGACAGAGAGAGAGGGGAGACACAGAATCCAAAACAGGCTCCAGGCTCCGAGCCATCAGCACAGAGCCTGACGTGGGGCTCGAACCCATGAGCCGTGAGATCATGACCTGAGCCGAAGTCTGCCGCTCAACCGACTGAGCCACCCAGGTGCCCCTAAATATTTGTTTATGTTTATTTACTTTTGAGAGAGAGAGACAGACAGAGAACGAGGCAGGGAGGGGCTGAGAGAGAGAGAGAGACACAGGCTCCAGGCTCCTGGCTGTCAGCACAGAGCCCCACACGGGGCTCGAAGTCACGAACCACGAGATCATGGCCTGAGCCGAAGTCCGGTGCTTAACCGACTGAGCCACCCAGTCGCCCCAATAAAGTTGACTTTAAAAAGTCATATTTTAAGTGAGTAAATGATACTATAGAAACCAATCTACACTATATCTCCCCAGCTTTTCTTTCATGCATATTCACATAGACAGAAACACCAAATAGTATTCACTGCCTGAGGGTAAGACTAAGGGTAGTTTTTGTGTGCGTGCCTTTCTGTGTTTTCTAGATTTTAAACTTTCCGTGTCTGTGGCTTACCTACGTTTTGCCTGGCACTGCACAGGCAGTATTAGAGACACGCTTTATAAATACAGCAGTGACCCGACCAAGGAGCTCACCATCAGCCAGGTGGGGCCACTGGGAGGAAGGAGAGGGTTCTCTTCTCCTCCAACCGTGGAGCACCAGCCATGTCCACCCCCCACCACAACCCCCCGGGACACACACACACACACACACACACACACACACACACACACTCCTGCCAGCCCCGACCCTAAGAGAACACATTCAGAGTCTGGGGGTATAACCCAGCTATAGTTACAGTCTGTTTCAAGTTCAACTAGCACGACCCCCTTTGACACACGAGGCCTCTGCCCGGTTTCCTGTTTTCAGTCAGCTCCACTTCCGACCAGGCCGGCTCCCAGGAGCACTTGCTCTCACCGCACGCGCCCTTAGGGGCAGTCCGCTCTGAGACCAGACAACTCTGCCCCCCAATTCCCTCGTCCTCACTTCGTCCTCGTCTCAAACACCGGGCCACGGAGAAAAGAGCACGTGCCTGGATCAAACCACCAGCTCCCTTTCGTACACCTTTTGCCTCTGGGAGCAATCAGTTCACGGCTTCCAGGTTTCATGCCTGAAAACAGGAGTGATAGGGGCGCCTGGGTGGCTCAAGTCGGTTGAGCGTCCGACTTCGGCTCAGGTCATGATCTCGTGGTCCGTGAGTTCGAGCCCCGCGTCGGGCTCTGTGCTGACGGCTCAGAGCCTGGAGCCTGCTTCGGATTCTGTGTCTCCTCTCTCTGACCCTCCCCCGTTCGTGCTCTGTCTCTCTCTGTCTCAAAAATAAATAAATGTTAAAAAAAAATTAAAAAAAAAAAAAAGAAAACAGGAGTGATATTCTCGAGGCACAAGAGGATCGGGTGAAATGACCCACGTGGCCGCACCCCGCGGCCCTGACTCGGCTCCCCTCTCTGACCTCTCCTGTGGCCTGGTGCGCGTCCTGACCCTACTGACCTCCAGCATGCAATCATCTGCCATGGGCCTGCTTCCCTTTTGCGGGCGCGGAGAAGCGAAGAAAACCCAACGAGCTGGCGCAGCAGTTTCTGCGCTGCTCACCCAGGGCGGTGGCTGGTGTCGGAAAACAGCGACTGGAACAGGCCTCCTCCTGGAGGAAGCCCCCCGGGCAGGACGCCCGCAGCCCCGGCCCCTCCAGGGAGAAAGCTCCAGATGAGCCCGCACAGAGCGCCTTCACCCTCCGTAGATGCAAAACAATACCTCTCCCGAGAGAGAGAACCAGCAGCCAGCAGACCGAAGGCGGCACGGCCCCCACGCAGGCCCAGAGTCTGACCACCGGAAACCAGCTGGCGAAGGGGGCCGGCGCTAAATGCAGGCAGCCAGGGACTTTCCACCTGGACAACCCACGGGGGTGGGGTCTGTCCAGTGTCCACGCGGCGCTGAGGCTTGATGGGGCCACACTGCCAGTGGCTGGCGGGGACCAAGCTCACGTGTGGACCACCAGGGGGACGGTTCCTTAGATGCCCCATAGCTGGGTCTCTCCGCATGTAAAGTACGAGAACACCTGCCCGGCTGGGGCTGTGTGTGAACACGACACACGTGGAACGGCAGCGCGATGGCTGCACGGAAGGGACCCACTCTCGAGCCCAGAAATGTACAGAGATGCTCAAAGCCCTCGGGGCCGGGCCAGGCACCGTTAGAGCAAGACACGGGGCCCTGGTGGGTGGTGCAAAGAAGCCCCGGGGTGATACCTGACGCAAGACATTTCTCCCAGAGGGACATCAGTAAGATCGCACAAGAGTAAACTCTCAGACACCCAGCCAGAGACAGGCTCTCTGCAGACAGTGCTTCCGGTGACCCCAAGGCCGGAAACCAAGTGTTGGCCACGGATCTGAGGCCGCCCTTGACCTCGGCCTCGCCTGTTTCGGCTGGGCCCACCCCTCCTCCAACCCGTGAGCCTCACAACCTCAGCATCAGGAAGCACCTGGAGCACCCCAGGGTGTCCCAAACTCTGCCCACGAGAGAATCTGCCACCCCCACCCCCAATAATTAAAACAATAAATTGCTGCATCTTGTGCAGTGACTTCAGTGGACTGCAAGCCTGGACCCCGCTGCCCTCACTCAGCTTACGTGCCTCACGCACACCCCGCCCTGCTCGTCCCCCACTCCTGCCTGGCCAAGGCCAGGAGCCCCGGAATTGAGCTCCCTCTGTTCGCTCTCGGCGGATCCTTTAAGAATGTTAAGCCGGATAAAGCCCTCACAGCCAAAGAGGAGTCCCATGTCGGCCCCTGGGATACCTTGGGCTGACATCCACCTCCCACCCGGTTTTAGGGCCCTTGCTCTTCTTCCCACCTGGACAACCTCTCCCCCAGCTGCATGGGTTTCTCCGGCTCTCTGCTCAAAGGCCGCCACCTAAGTGAAGGCTGCTGGCCCCACCCATACCCCGGTGATGGGTCTCCACCAGCCGGGGTCTTCTCCTCAGACACACCTGCCCCTGCAGGTGCACCCCTCTGGCTTCCTTCCAGGGAAAATGACCCACTGCGGCAGGGACTTTTCCACAAGCACTGAGCCAGGGCTAGGATGCCACCGCACCCTCCCCAACAGGCCCCGGATAAAACTTGCACAAGAGAATGAATGAAGTGGAACACACCCACACTGGCCAGCCCGGGTTTCTCGGCCTTGGAAGCCTCCCCCTTCCCACTGTCCAACACAGCCCTCGGTTAATCCTCCTCCTCCCTCTCGGGATCAAATGACATCTCATTAAGCCTCTGCCCTCCCTCTGCCAGCAGACAGCTCTGCCAGGGAGCCCCTGGTCCCTTCTCCTTGGGGAGAGTGTCCCCTGGGCCGGGTGTGTCCTTTCCATTTTTATCCAAATTACACTTCTCCGAAAGGAGAAGGCCTCTGAAGGTCATGTGTCCAGCCCGCTGTACCAAAACCCACTCCC